AAAAACTCGAAGAGCCAATTTTCACAGGCCTCTCTTGAGGTCAACTTCTCACCATTAAGCGCGTTCGCCATGGACAGGAAAAGATGGTAATCACTTGGTGCCAGGTCCGGACTAAAAGGTGGGTGCATTACGACCTCCCATTCGAGCTTCTGCAGCTTCTGGCGCGTCACCAAAGACGTGTGTGGCCTGGCGTTGTCCTGATGGAACACAATTCAGCCTCTGTTGATCAAAGATGACCTCTTCTGGATGAGTGCTACGTTCAAGTGGTCCATTTGTTGGCAGTGGAGGGCAGAATTGAGCGTTTGGCCATAGGGGAGCAGCTCGTGGTAGATGGTTCCTTGCCTTAAAATATAGCGAATTTTCTCTTTGCTGGTGTACATCTTTGACGAGCGCTCACAACGTACTGAGTCAATCAAATGAATGAATAAAAATGATTTCGGGCGGTTAGCTCCTATAAATACCAGCCGGGAGTCTCAGTTGTCGACCACTTTTTACAGCAATTGGAGCCCTATATCAGCAGTTATGCGAGTAATATTCTCTTCCAAGGCATCAATCGTCTCAGGTCAATTTTTTGGAATCTTCGTCAATTGCAAATGGTGTTCATGTGTCATCAAGAGGACCTCAAGTCAGTGATATGACTGGTTTGTAACTTCTTCATCTACACTTCGCCAGTCACCGGAGTCCAAATCCATGCGGCGTTGCTTGTAATAGGCTTGTCCTTTGGCTAGTTATTTTGCGAGAAATGTTTCTTTGTCCATTACCCAGACGCTTCCGGCGACTAGACTTTATTTTGCAGATCTGTTCTTTTCCTCAATAGTAGTCGTATGTAAAGTGAAGTAAGGCAAGCTGTAGAATATAACTTCCATGACTAAGGCTTATGTACAATCGAAATTTTGACGCCGGTACTCTTTCGTCCGGTACTCTGTCGTGCAGTCAAGAAGTGGGTAAGTTTGGAAGATAGCCACCTAAATAAAGATTATCTACACCCTGCCAAGATGCTATTGTCAGTCAGCCATCAGCATATAACACACACACAGTTTGGAGGTGTCGGAAGCTTCTAAAAGTAAAGAACACAAAGGTTTCCATCGACATTCTCGATGGTCAATTATTTTTAAAAGGCAACTAAGTTATCTGCTTGCTACGAAAGAGCTGAGATTTTCTTACGACATATTTCATACACCTATAACCATATAAAGTCTAGCTCACACAACTACTGAAGCCAACTGCCAATTCACAACGCATCCACATGCTTGTACAGCATCCATGGTATAGTGATTTTTCGAACATAATTTTCTTTAACGACGAGGCACAGTTTCCACTCGGACGATACGTAAATAAAACAAAAGTCGCATTTAGGACACCGAGCATTGACATTATATCCAGAAAACCTAATCTCCTGTGCGCGCTTTGGTCCGGAAGTGTGATTGCATCTGTCAATTCGGAGCATTATGGTCGTATGATAACCGACTTTCTTTGATCTGAAATATCCATGCCCCCCAACAAGTACGAATATAGCTTTGTTGTGATAGAAAATTCTCGGCTGTGTAATCTCTCATCCTGGCGATGTCCATTGCCAACAGATCATGCAATTTGACTCTGCGGCACTCTTTTTGTGGAGTTACGCGGAAGACCGTGTCTATGCGTATAAACCTTCAACTTTTGAGTATTTGAAGACTAACAAAACCACGCAAGGTGCGCCAAAATTCGGTTTAAAATAACATCAAACGGATTGAAATTTGCAGGAATTCGCGAAGCGATCATTTCAAAGGTTCAAAAAAGTTAGTAAAGAAGAAATTTCTTGAAAAACAAAAAAATTGTTTGAATGCATTTTATTACATTTTATATTCGAAACCACAAAATATATAGCCCTGTACTTTCCTTTCAGTAATTTGTTATATTTACACAACATAACAATATTTTCATCATCAAATAACAAATTCATTACCTCAAACACAATATTTTTGCTTCACCTGAAAAAAATCAACAAAAATAAGACCGTTATTGCATCTGCGCTTACGCACCACATATCAAAAAAGTACAGAACTCGTATTGAAACTGTGTTCAATGCAGGTCTTAAAACTGTTTGTTTCATTATTTTTATAAACTTTTTAATATACCTGGATATATATGGATATACATACCTACCCGCCCTAACATTCAAGCAGACCTCGCTAACGCTGAGATTATGCGACATTTCAGCGTGAACCAGTTTTTTTCCGGGTTCATTGCCGGCTAATAACATCGATAAAAGCACAGTGGCAGTATATGATTTTTTATATTTTTTTTTAATTCTGATTAAAAACTTTGTATAAATTTTATTTTGGCTTATATAAAACAGATGGGGTATTTCAAATTACTTGAGTTGCAATAATGACATTAACGCGCCGCCTTTTGCTTTATCGTATGGCAAAATTGGGGTGTAGTGTTGGCAGGGAGCTTATTTTAAAAATATGGTAAAGAAAAATGATTTTCGATATGCAGGGTTAAGAGGATTTTCCCCTCACTTTACGAAAAGAAGTGAGGGAAGAGAGAACATGTCTATTGGAAGTTCCCGAGAATTGAGAGAAAAAAATTATTGTTTAGATTTACCATTTCGAGCATTTAAAATTTGAAAGTTTTTCTCTGGAAAAGTGCCGAAAAATCACTTCCAATGTTACCCAAATTATATAACCTGGAATATTCTCACCTCTCATCAAACCACTGTGCATTCAGTTCATATAGTCTGTTGTATCTACAAACAAATCAGCTTATCAAAGTAGAAACTAGCGTAATCTCTCCTATGGCAATTTTATCAGTGCTTTCTTCAACGCTGATCTTTATCTCTTTCGGCTGTGCCATTGAGCAAGCAAGAATAAGTAGATAACTAAGTAAGTAAGTAAGTAAGTAAGTAAGTAAGTAAGTAAGTGAGCTTAGCAAAAGACCTCATACGCAAAGATCACACTTTTTTCCGAAATCGCAAAATGATGATGACGATGATGATCAACTGTAGTTGGAACGAGTAGAGTAGATAGATAACGCGATCGTGGCGCACACGTAAGATCTCCAGCATAGTTAATTGTAGTAACCAGCGAGAGCGAAATGGTGGCGAAATTACCGTATAAATAGAGAAGATAATAACGAGTGAACTGTTGTCGGCGCCGAATGCTATAGAAAGAATTGTAAGGGATGGAGTAGATTATCCAACGTTCGGAAGAAAGATAGTAAGGAAACAATATGAGAAGATTAGCTCGTTGCTCGTTGACGGTTGGCCGCACAGTTGACAAGTGTATGTAATGCAAGCAAAAAAGAAAATAAAAAAAAGAAAATAAAAAAAGAAAATAAAAAAATAAAATAAAATAAATGCAAAAAATAAAGGAAAAATTAAAAAATCTCTTTATAAAACTTTAGTCAGTATGATAAAATGAATTTAGTCTTTGTTCGGACATACGGCATAACGAGAGTGACGCTGGCAGTTGAGCAGTAACGGTATATGTAAAGTGACATTGCGGATGAATTACAAAAACTACTTAAAGAACTGTGATTTGCATAATATAAGTGCAAGAAAAAAGAAAAATAAAAATAAAAAACAATTAAATGAGGCTTTTCCACAAAATTTAATGCGAAAAGCTACCGAAATAAAAGAATTTTTAACGTTTTATGGTATAATGAGTAAAAACTAAATACTACTTATGAGAAAAAATGTGAAATTTATGCTGTGAATGAACTTAAAAGAGACTTTTCAAATAAAATAGAATTAAAAAAAAAAAAATGTTTCGTGTTAACCATGCACTGTGTAACAATAATTAAAAAAAAAATAATAATTAAAAAACTAAAACACATTGGAAAACGCAAATGAAATAGAAGCATTGTGCAAAAACAAAATTATTATTGAAAAAAAAAAAAATATATATTTTCATTTAAAAACGATACGAATATTAAACTGAAAAGAAAAGAAAGTTGGAAATAAAGTGAGAAATATTTTTCAAATGTGGAAAAATATATTAAAAACATATAAATAAACATTTAAGAGTTCTAAAAGCAATCAACAAAACAGAAGTTAGAGAAAAAATTACTGTTTAAATGGAAAAAGTGTAAAAACGCATTTTAAATGTGAAAAATATTATTTTCATCGAAGAAGAATACGCAGTAATTGAAATAAATATTAAAAAAAAAAATTCTGTATACCTGAAAGGGAAGCCAAAATGAAAGTAAAAAATTAAATAAGTATTTTTGCAGCCAAAATATTATATATTAAATGATAAAAATACAGAAAAAAATCTAATTACACAAACAAAGTAGAATAAAGAAACGAAAATAATAATTGGAAATTTGAGTTCTCCCCTTAAATGTGGTATGCTAAATAATAAATATTAAAAAAAAAATTAAGAAACCAAAAGCCTTATCGATTAAGTTACGAAAAAATCATAAATTGTAAAATTATAAAATTCACTTTTTGCCCCAGACATTGGTTATTGCATAATAAAACATAAAAACAAAGTTTCTCACATAAAGGATATAGCAACGAGAGTAAAAATTTAGTCAAATAATTTTTCACCACAAATATTTTATGCAAAATAATCTTTTAAATTACTAAAAACAATTTGCGAATTAAAAATCAATTAATCATAACTGCGCGCTGTCCAACAGCTCATTTTTTCAATGCCAACATCGTTGTCCGCGACCATTTGCTGAACTTTTATTGAATTTAAAGCACATACATACATACTTGCATACGTGCATATGTACATACATTAGCACATTTCTACACTCCCCACGTAAATTGAAAGCGCAACTTGCTTACAGCTTAAAAGCTAAGGAAAGCGCGTACACACAAACACACACACACACATACATACAAACTTATACACTAATAAAATTATATGAATAATTTGAGTGAAAAAAAAAATAAAACTTTTGAATCGTGTAAGCAAAGCAAGTATTTTTGCTGTGTGTGCATGTGTATGTCTTGGACCGCTTGGACGCGCTTACTTTATTTTACTTTATGTGTCGTTTTACGTTTAGTGATTTTGCTTTTTTATGTTTGTTATTCTGTTTTGTGAATGGAATTGAAATAAATCGCTGATTATCTTCTTAAATTGAATTTAATCAAGACGAACGGACGTTTAATTTCAAGTGTTTCATCGAGCGCGCGCCGCTTGGCGTACACATAAAGCTTGTACTAGAATACATAGTATGACAAATACATAAATACATATGTATATATTTATTAAGAGTTGCTGAAATAAAAGTCACAGCGGGGTATAGTGTGCACTCAAATCACTACACAAAGTGTGAAGTAGTAGTTGTACAGCATAGACACACACCTACATACACCTACATATGCTCGCAAAGGTAAAGATGCAATCGCACATTTTCTAAGTAACTGCAGAAGAAGCAGAGTAACTCATGTGTAGAAATACACTAGTTTAACACTAGTCAAGTGCTCACTGTCGCGTGTGTCTAACGGACATAATTCGCGATTGTTTCCGCGCGCTGCGCTGTATGGTGAAAACCCATAACATTGCAAGGCAACTGTTAATCGAAGCATCGTGCCATTTCATATTTCACATGGCACTAAATAGTCAAACTAAATTATACCGTTACAACAAATAACGGCCACCATAAATCTCTTACATCCTTCCACGTATGATCCCCGCTCACTACACGTACAACACTCGGTTCTTAACTTGGCGGCGCCAGCGCAAACTAAGAGCATCCAACAACTATCGTCAAGCTCCACAGTGCACAGTGTATTTGTTTTATTATGATTATATTTATGGTGTCTACACACTATTGTTGTTGGTAGTGTATGAAAAAAAAAACAAAAAAACATTGTGCAAAATAATTTACTACAACGCTGCGAGTAAACATTGTGCGCGCGCTCACTGAGTCGCCTATAAATATACACACTGTGCGCTTCAGCCAACTGTAACTGAAAAGTAATCATCAGCGTCCTATAACGCGCCTATCCAACGACTGTAGCTGCAAACACGAAATGGCCATAATGGGTGGCGAGGAGACGGCGACCGAAACTATTGACATGGTGCCTGCGGAGAAGGTGAAACCATCGCAATTTGGCGAATTTTGTCGCCGCAATGGCATTAATCCGAATTTGATAATGTTGAAGATAACGCTGTTCGTCATGTATGGCGGTGAGTATGCACTTATTGTGGTTGTTTATATTATTTGTAGAATAATCATTATTGGAATTTACGGTACCTCTACCGCTGCGGTATCGCTGCGGCACCGCTGCCCGGAGGTCAACCAGCTCTGATGGCTTCCACACATTGTTCTGTAGACTCAAGGGTGTCGCGTGCGCCCTTCTAGTATAAGTTCACAAATTTGGGTATTTTCGTTTGGAATTTAATGCAATTCTGTGAAGAGTTCCCTTATTGGAAGTTCAATTCGGGTCTGCCTTTCTATCCAATGATAGAATTCCCAACCATATTTGTAGTTTAGTTAGTCTAAGACATATTTTTATGGAACTTTCGATCGAACCTTATTGTTGCTCCATGAAAAAGTTAAGAGAAGCTAATTTTTCGGCCGAGCTCCTCCTCCAATCTGTGGTTTTTGTACTAAGCTGCCTCCGAACGGCTGATGGCTTTTTATGAGGAGACTTTATTTCAAGTCAGAATCTTGGCTTTACGAATGCCAGTACACAATGCTGACCGTGCGGCTTTCGCGGTATCAACTGTTTAATCCGTGATTTACTCATTTTGATATCTCAGGCAACAAATGACTTTTCTAAAAAAATTCGAAACATTTTCTTCTGTGTTGTATCTTCTCGGATTGGTTTCCATCTGTAAAGTAATTTAGAAGGAAGCTATATGAAATGTGGTCAGAGAGATCTGTGATAATAACATACGAGGTGTGACAATTAAGTAATACCACTGATTCCAGAAAAACCGTTTATTTCAAAATTCATCTACAACTCGGCCATTCTCTTCAAAGTAGTCTCCTTGGGCAGATATACAACGATTCCAGCGCGTTTTTCATGCTTCGTAACATTTCTGGAACGCTTCGACTGGGATGCCCGAGAGTACCATCGTCACGGCTGCCTAGATGACCTCAATTGAGTCAAAATGGGTTCCGTTTTTATTCTAGGGAACAAAACAAGTCAAGCAAGGGTGACATATTGGGCGGATAAGGTAGTTGTTGCAACACGGCGATCCCTTTAGAGCCCAAATACTAGGACACGCTGAGGGCGGTGTGGCACGGCGTGCTGTCGTGATGAGGGATCCAATTACGAGCAATGCCTGGGTGTACCCTGTTGACTCGTTTTCGCAATATTTCGAGTACTTGGTGATACTAAAACTGTGGAGCGTCGATCTTCACGGATTATAGCGCGCACACGCTGCGAATTCGTATCAGTCCGCACGTCGACCAGTCTCCCGCTCCGCGCCTCGTCTTCTAAGCTTTATCGAAACTCCATGTCACCATGCACCAGCACCACGAACACCCGTTTACTCAATACGACACAGTCACACCTCGTAATCTCTACCACTCTCAAACCGGCCTGGCGTGAGCTTGTCGGATGGGAAATCGTCCAAAGAAGAGGCTTCCCTAATGCTTTTTGTCGTAACTGAAGGAATATAAATATGAAAAAGGAGGCTACAATACTTAAGTTCTTATTGGGGCTCGACATGGCTTTTTCGGAAATTATAAGCTCGATTGTCTTGCCGACTTAGCTCACAGACCTTATAGGATTGCGCTATGTCGTTACAAAGTTTTCCCATTTTGCCATCATTTGAGTTTTTAAAAAATTGATTAGCTGTCGAGTTAGTAAAGTAAAACAGTGATCAATCAATTAAAACTCGTGCTGATATTAAATTCTTCATCAAAAAGATTTTAAGTTGATGCCGGTCCACGCTTCAAAAATCTGATACTCGTTCAATGAATTCCGCTTCATTAAAATACATTTTATTCTTAGTGAGCTCATATAAGTTAATCTATATAGGAGGTGATTCTTGGTTCCTGCCATTGATTCGTCATCGTCATCATTAGCGGCTTAGGCAATAAACAAAAGCACGTCATTCGTTCCTACTCTTTGCTGTTTGGCGCCAGCTGGAAATAACACGCGAAACCACCAATGGATATTGCATCGAATACTTTCAAGGCTTGAGCAGAAGTCGAGTCGCAAATGTCCTTGAGGAGATAAGCTGACTTTAACTCGTTCACCACCATACCAGAAGCGCAGCCAGAATCGAGCTATTCGCTACTTAATGACTTTTCACACAGGGTGACTCCTTATCAAGAGTTTTTTTTTGATGCAGAAGAAAATAATAACAACTGTAGACCTAAATAGGCAAGGTACAATGATTTACAAGATATTGATATTTTTAAAGTCACACTGATAAGGTTCGATAAGTTTGTTGACGTAGGGCTTAGAATTGATTAGCATTTCTGTATTAATTTTTTTTTTATATTTTCTGTATACTTAATTTTTAAACTCGGAGTTTGTGTGTCAAGAAAATAGTATTTTCATTCCGTATAATCCTTTTTAATAATAATTCTCCTTCGTCATAAGAATAACTTCTTTCCTTTACTGTCGTAGGCACTGCTTACTCGTTTATAGCCGAGTTGACAACATGGCGCCATTCGTTTCTTCTATTTGCTGTTTGGCGTCAATTGGAAATACCAAGTACAGCCAGGTCCTTCTCTACCTGGTCTTTCCAATTCGTATCCAACCAGACCACATGACCTAGTGAACGCAGCCAATGTTTCTGGATACGCTGAACTTGTCTATCTCATACAGCTCATTTTTCCTTCTCATAGAGGACCGAAAATCTTACGCCAAACCGCTCTCTCTAAAACTCCTAACGCCGACTCATCAGATGCTGTCCATGCTTCCGCAGCATATAGCAGGACGATAACGATAAGGGACTTGTAGAGTTTGGTTTTTGTTCGTCGAGAGAGAACTTTACTTTTCAAGCGCCTATTGGCAAGAGTGATTCTGGGTTGGATTGTTGGTGGTTAATACTGGTTCCAAAATAGACGAAGTGATTAACTACTTCAAAATTGCGACGCAGCTCGTTACACAACTATACGATATCCTTTTCATTCGCTTGCTATAAATTTGTATCAACAACAATTTCGCCCACTGAAGAGCACACACATCAAAGAAAAAATTTGAAATTTCTTAAGCAGCTCATTCACTTCTATTAGTTAATGCCAACTAGGTAGTCACTAAGCTTAATTGTAATTAAAGTTAATTTGTTAATTAATATTTATTAAATTGTGACATTGGAACTAACAACAATTACGAGATTAGCTACGCTTGCATGTGGCACCACGAATAATATCATATGCATATTTCATATTTAAATAAGCTCAACTACATGACAAATATTTTAGTTTTAATGTGCATACATAAAAGAGCAAATAAACATGCACACATACATACATACCTACACACATAAAGACAGAATATTTTCCCATAACCCTCACGCACAAAAAAAAAAAAAAAATGAAAAAATTAACGCTCATACGTGTATGGTACATATTTATGTAATGTAATAAGTAGAACTTTGTTGTTGTTCAAAAATAAAAACAAAGCTAAGAGATTATGTATAAATTTTGGAATTAAAATATTAAAAAATTGCGTAGATCTCAGTTGAAAATGAAATAATGAAACTAAATGAAAAAGAGCGAGAATTGCCATTGACCGTCAGCTTTGAGTGACAGTTAGTTTGTACCTACATATAAATTGTTGTGTACAAGTTTGCATAGTCGAGGATTTTAAGATATTTTAGATGCTATTACATATCTACATACCCACACATATACTTACACACGAGTACTTCCCAACAAATCCGTTAAAAGCAGTATTGCAACTGTTTGTTTTCTAAATAAACGAGATGGCAATGGCGAGTTCCCGATTAGGAATATACTAGTCTTATATTAGTCCAAAATGAAGCACGACAAAGTAGTTTATTTTTATACAAAGAAAATTCTAAAACATAAAAATAAATTAAGTAATAAATATTTGCCAATTAATATTTTTCTTTACGGCCGTGTACACCGCTTCTGTGTTGAAAGTCGAGTCATCAAACAAAGTGCGCTGTTCATTCCTTCTTTTCACCTTTTTGACGCCAATTGGAAATACAAAGTGTAGCCACATTCTCCTTCGTCACATCTTTCCAACGGAGTGGATACTTTCCCTTTTCTCTATTTCCACCGGCAGGTACTGTACCGAAAACTGCCAAAACTGGGGTACTCTCTGCCTAGCGGAACACATAAGCTAGCCAGCGTAAGCTCCCGTTCTTGATTGACTGAGCCATTTGAATGTCACCCTCCATCGGCTGAGAGTACTCGAGATTTTCAGTCATATATTTTATTGTACTAGAAATATTTCTCTTAAAATCCAATGCCGACTCATCAGATGGTGCCATCGTACACGCTTCTGCGGCATATATCAGGACGAGCATGATAAGCGACTTTTAAAATTTGGTCTTTGTTCATCGAGAAAGGTCTTACTTTTCACTTCCCTTATCAGTCTACATTAGCACCTATTGGCAAGAGTGATACTGCTTGGGATTTCCAGGCTGGCATTGTAGATGGTGTTAATTTTGGTTCTAGGATAGACAAAGTCACTTACGTCTCAAAGATATGGTTACAACTGGGGGCCGAGTCACTATTTGCTTGATGACAGCAGGTATTTCGTCTTATCCGTGTTCACTACCAGTGCCATATATTTCGCTTACTTACCCCGTCGGCAGAAAGCAGAACTCATGGTAGAGTGGTTGACGACAGTTATATCAATTTCACCCTAACCTAGCTTATATATAATTGGCGCAGACTGTGCGGCTACCCCCTTTATGGATTTTAGCAGAGCTCTTACTCCAATTTATAACTTTGTGTCTTGATGTTTTTTTCAACAAGTTGGAGGAAACCACAGTTTATACTAAGCCGCCTGTTAACGGCTGATGATTTTTTATAAGGAGCCTTTATTTTAAGTCATACGAGTAAATATACTCGGAGGGGTTGACATTCCCTAATGAAGGTCGGCCGCATTAAGAAAATTAAACTAAAAATGTCTATTATGTCGGGCACTGGCCTTCTGAATGGTAGCACTATGTTAGCACTGCGCACTCGGCTACCGTGGCCACCACTGAGAACACTTGGATTCCAATTGACAGGACTGCTTTTATCC